TTTTCTCTGAGTCTATAAGTCACTTTCTCTTGTGCTTCAGAATTTTTTTTTTCCCCCCCAGCACTGGGAAGAGAACTCAGGACCTTGATCTTACCAGGCAGGCACCACGCCACTAAGCTAAATAAATCCCTGGCTCAGAATGTGTTTTTGAGGGGAGGATTCTGCGGTGAACACTCTTCCTATTATTTTCCTTAAGCAGTAGAGAAATTAACAAAAAGCAAAGAACTACCTCAGAACCATACTGGCTTCAAAATGTTGTGAATGTTACTCCTTGGTCAGCAGTTATAGATCACTCAGAGGTACACACATTTTCTTCCTTAGATCTAGAAACAGAGAGAACACTGCAGGGTCGAGTCCCGAGCTTGGTGTCTGGCGTCCAGCAAACACTCATTTCATGTTTCTGCTAATTGCGAGAGGATCTTCTACTGCAGCTGGCACCAGCCAGGGAGCCGTGTGCAGAATTCAGGTCTTCATTCAGTGACAGAGCTAAAACATGTACCTCCAGCTGCACTAGCCAAGGGTTCTTCCTCTCATCTTCCCTCCTTCAGCGTTTTCCTGAAGTGCTGACTTGTTTCCGCCTGCACAGAGCTCCTGCCTCTCCTTCCGCTGCCTGCCTGCAGCAGGGCTGTGGATTGTGCAGTGTGGTTTTCAAGTGAAGGAAGAGAAGAATCAATGAGGAGCCGGAAGTGCATGGCTCTAGGCAGCTAAGAAAGGAACTCGTATGGCTTTGGGATTTTCTGCATTTTGTTGCCAATAAAGAGACTGGGGTTGAGTCACAGCCTTTTCTCATCTTCTCCCAGATTTCTGTGCTATTCTGGTTCTGCAGGCTTAGTTTAGGATTATGACTCTCAACCCGCCCTCCTCCTTGCTGCAGCTAGTGGAAATTCCCAGCAGATTCTAGCCTTTTGTTTCTCATCCTTATTTTTCACTTTTCACTTGTCCTGCAGGGATTTGGGTGGGGGGTGCTATTTACTTATGGTGATTTAATTAAAGCATTGGCATAAAGCATTTCTCAAAAGTGGCACATATTGGCCCAGATACTTGGTGAACACTCAATGTGGGTCATATACTCTGCGAGACACTGAGAATCAAAAGATGAGAAGAAAGGCAGTCCCTGCCTTTGGAGTGCGAAGGCTGTGAAGGACACTCCAGGCAAGGGACATGCTCAGAGGTGCTGGTAAGCAGGTTCCTCAGAGAGTGACAAGCGATGCTGGAGTTTGGGGTAAACAGGAAAGAGTAGTGTGGGATGACGAACTGAGATTCTATTTAGGAGAAGGAAATAGGGAGCCCAGTAAAGAATATTAATTTGGGATTTTATAAGACAAATCTCTACTCTAAAAAACCAAGAAAAGGGTTGAAGGGAGATCTCAAGACACTATTTGAGTTCTGCGAGGGATTCTTAAAGACCGAACAAAGACAATGGTGTGAAAAAAATGAGACATTATCAGAGAGCAAGAATAACGTGGAAGTAATACCTAATATCAATGGGGTTTCGCAGCTGAGTAGATGCAGATGCAAGGAGTTATAAGTGAAAGGTCACCAGCTTGGTGATGGGATGGAAGGTGCTAATAACTGTGACAGGGACTACAGCAGCAAGGGGAGCTTGACAGACAAGAAAATTGATTCACTATGAGCACAAACTATGAGGTGCCCACGGGAGTGATAAAAAGAACTGCCTGTAGATGCCCAGCTGTCTGTGGCCCAGAAGAGAGTGGAAGTTTGGAACAGACGTGCACTGGTGGAAGTGATGGCTAGAGGTGAAGGTCATGATGAGTCCCTGGGGAAGACAACCGAGTGAGGAAAGAAAGAGCCAAAAAACCAACACTGGGAACAGCAACTTTAAGGTGGGAGATGAAGGGGGAAAACAGGCCACAAAGCTAACAAGAAATAGGGAAGAGATGTGTGCTGGCACTCTAGGGGTAAATGGTTTCAAAGATGCAGACAAAAGCCATGTCAAGCAAAACAGAAGCCATACAAGCACTAATAACCACTGGCTTCAATCTTCCAGACCTTTAAAGCTCCATTTCCGAACACTTATTTAATAATAACTGTTTGAACAAACAACTGGAAGCCCTTACAAAATAACACAAATGCTCTCATCAAAACAAACTTCCCATCTAATGAGAATCTGTGCGGTGAAACCTCTGCCTTCCGGGTGTTGTGATATCTAGCACAAGCTATTATTTAGCAGAGATATGAGAATCACAGCTTCTTTGTTTCACAGAATGTGTTGCAGTGAGATGTAACCCAAGAAAGAGGCAAACTTATAAAAACTGTGGTCTGATAGGCTAGCAGTAGACTCTGGATCCTGCCCTCCACAGGACTCTGATATAAAAAGGTCAGGTCTGGTTCCCATTAGTTCTCCAAAAGCCATCATTAATCCTGAGGTACCGGGGTCAGCCCAGGGAAAAACTAGCCATAAAAATGGTGTGACACAAAGGACACTAAAATTTCCTTTTCGATCCTTTGCTGAAAAGACTTCCCCAGCTCTGAGACATTCGTGGTATCTGCAGTTCCTCCACATAAAGAATCATCTTGTTTTGTTAAAGCATTTAGTTTCCTCCAGCTGGCTCCAGTAAAGATGTTAAAAAAAAAAACAGAGGACTAAAACATTATTCCATCATCAACCATATTAATTAATAAAATTCACCCATTATCAAACATATTCAATAAAGATGTTTATCAAATGACTTGTGGTCATCTGAAGAAGAAAAGACCAGAGAGCAGGAATTAAGCTAAGAAGATCTGAATTATAAGGCACTGCCCTGGGAAAGACTCCTGCAGTGAAGGGCACTGTGTCACTGTGTCCTGTGTGCAGAATGGGTACCAAATGGTGAGGTAAACGGAAGCAGAGTTACTCAGATTTTTCCTAAAACACAAATTCATCTTATCAAACTCAGGACCTTGCATTTGGGAGGCAGGAGGAAGAACCACTGAGCTAGGTCCCGCCCAACAAATACACCTTTACTGAGCAGTAAGATCTCTGGGGCCATCGCCATCCCTAATTCTGGCACATCTCAGGAAAGCACGAAGACTCCCAACAATCACGAAATATGACAACTACAACTAAGGGGCCGAGCTTGTATTTCCGAAATTTGAGTTGTGACAATAATGAACAAATTTCTTAAAAATTCACAACATGAGTATTTAAATATATAATGCCATTAGAACACTGCACACGGTTTGCCAAAAACTCACGCCTTGCTGGAAATTGTGATTTGACATTCTAATGGATCCACCGTTCTGCTCTGTCACTAAAGATGGGTAGGAGGCATGTAATTTCATCAAGGTAATTAGTGTAAACCATTTTTTCCTGAGCTGAAAATAAGTATTGTAGGCTAACACAAAAATTCGAATCAGAAAAACCAGCCCACGTGGGCTGAAAAAGATAAGGAAGCCCAAGAATTTGGGGTGACCAAGTACAGACTAATTCTACTACTTTGTGCTACTTCAATGGGTTTTATGCTTCGACTGGGTCACTGGTTTTGCAAATACAAATTATTAAAAGATAAGAATAAGAATCGCTTATCTGCATGTTGACTGGTTCAAGTTTTGAGGAAAACTGCCAGCTATTTATTCAGGGACTGCTATGGAGAGGTACTGTTGCTTTGGGGCTGCTCACTGGAGCTACAGGGGGGTCAGGAAACCACGGGGTGCTGGCAGAAAGGAGCAAGTCCCTTTTCTCTTCACAGCACTCCACAGTCTCTCCTTAATGCTCCCAGCTGGGAGTCTTCATGGGGAACCACCTACAAAGAAACTTGCTCAGTAGAGTTCCGATTCCAGTGTCACAAAGGAATTTAGAGTGGGAAGACAATGACCTATTAAATGGCACAAGTGGCTAGGGAGGCAGCATAAAAATTTTTAGGAAGACTATTACAATAACTCAGGGACTTAGCATGATGGCTGGGACCAAGGGAGTGATTGCAGAGTAGATGAAAAATGGTCAAAACACTTCCAGTAGGTCCAGTAGAGTACCAAGTCAGGGTTGCTGGACTTTTAAAACTGAACAACTGAAAAATGGGATTTCCATTTCTTGAGGTGGAGAAGACTGTAGAGTACTGGGGTTTTGGGAGTGAGGAAGATAAGATATACTGATTATTTTAAGTTTGATATTCTTATTAGATATGCAAATAGATTAGTTTCACTGTGAGTTGATTACCTGAGTCTGGGGGTAAAAGAATAAGTCTCTGTTGCACTACAAATCTAAGAGTACCAGATACATGTAGTATTTAAAGCCAGGAGACTGGATGGAATCCTGCTGAGTGAATAAACAGAAAAGGAAAGATATTAGGTAGATTACTGAACTCCGATGATTTTAGGTTTATGAGGTGAGAAGAAATTGACATGAGAAGGAGTGGCTTTTGAAAAAAGAGTGCTAATTAGAAAAGGATCAAATGTATCACATGGTGCTGATAGGCCACATGAGAAATGACCGCTGACCACTGCAATTGGCAATGTGATTAAGGAAATAACTCAAGAAAATTTCTGAAATAGGAGGACATGAGCTTGCAGATTGAAAAAGCATACTAAGTGCCAGCCCTGTGAATAAATGCAGGACAATAACAAGGCACATCATTGTGAAATTTCAAAATAGCAGGCAGGGAGGGAAAAAAAGAGGGGGTGACAGAGATGACCAGACTGGAATCTAGGGGCAAGTAAAAATTCAGGTCAGGTACAAAAGATCAGGAATCGATCAATTTTCCCACACCAGCACTGAATGTGGAAAACACTGGAGGGATGTCCTCAAAATGCTGCAAGAATTTCCTAGTGAAAACATCAGTTCAATATAAAGTAGATTAACCTTGACTTTCCTTATACCTTTACTCAGAAAGCTACTTCAGGATGTGCACCACAAAAATGACAAAATCACTTTAAAAAGATGTTTCTAGGAGGTCCAGTACATGGAAAGGGGGACAGGAATTCCTATAATGGTGGTGAAGGTGATTCTTAGATGTCCTTGAATCAGGTAAAGACTCGAACATGTTAAGATTTCAGGCATCCTCTTTTAAAAAGCTGAAACTGTTGATCACTGACATTGATGAATGCTATTTAAACAACTGTCTAAGATGTAAGTAGTTGTCCTAAAAATGGGAGAAAGGAAGGTGGGAAGGAAGGAGCAAGTGAAGAAAAGAGAGGTAGGGAGGCAGGGGTCAGGAAGGAAGAGATATCCACTAACTCCAGGCAGAAGGGACTGGGATACTGGGCTCACAGTGACTGTATGTATATGGTCACAGATACAGGTGATTTGGCTGATCTAATGGTTTCCTTTATTCTGATTTTTCAGGGAAGTAGAAAGCAAGGGCTGGAAGGCATATGCGGTAATGAGGAACAAGGGTTGAAAAAGGAAAAGATGTGGTACAGTCATCTAAAACATGGAGGGTGAGTCAGCTTGAGAAAGGCTGGGGGTAGCCTCTTAATTCCTGGTGGCATCCGAAGGAGCTCTCCCTTCAATTGCTATTACTTTGGATTGTTAAACATGGCTAATGGAAGGTGGGGGAAGTAATAAAGAGCAGAAACTATTGCAATATGAGGGGTAGAGGGGGTGCCGAGCTGAGAAGTGACTCATAAGCTCCCTCTGGTCACTAATAAGAGGAGTGGGGGGTCTGTCCAGTGGAGCTGGTAGGGGTGGCCTGGAGCAGGGCCGGCAGAAGGCACTTCTATGAGCACCCTAGGGAAGTGACTTCAAATAGAATATGATTCGGCCTCACGTGAAGCAGAGTCATTTCGAGAACTTGAAGGCCTCACAGTCAAAATATCGGGAGGTAAGTGGCTGCAAAAATTGACAAAAGAAGGCAAATAACAACAGAAGTAGAGAAACTGGGAAGGAAAGTAATTACAATTTATCCTGGAAAAGAGTGATCACTGTTTACCCAGATAGAGCATGGTCAGGGTTCAGTTTAAAGCTACCACTAGGAGCAATTATTTGGTGAGAGGATGCTTCTGTTTGGAACAGCTCCAAAACCAAATGGAAACAGGCCTTGTCAATTTAACCTTAATAAAATGGTTCCCTGTACTAACTTGTAACAGCCTGTGGTGCCCCCGCCCCTGCTCGCTGGATAATAAACTTGGAGCTTACTGTGCTGCATCTTTTGTTTTTCAGCACCCTTAGCTTTCTCTCTTATAACTTGACTGGATAACTTTTAAAAAAAAATATTAGCACATATAATTATACAGAATAATAGATTTTGTTAATGTTTATTAAGCATGTATTCATTTCATTCACCCTTACAAAGTCACGACTAAGTCCCTAACTCCTCTCCTTCCCTTTAAACAGTAAACTCATTATTGACTTGTTGGGGCTATTCCTTGCCTTCCCATGAATCGAGGCTAACTATGACGCCAACTATAAATCCCCAGGGTAGCATCTCTCCAGCTACATCCCAAGGAAAGAGAGGTCAACACCCAGGTTCGGGTCTCTGCTCTGCCCTTTAACCCTCCAATGAAGCAAATCACACTGAGATGTCCGCTGAAAACTCCAGACAGTTCTAATGCCTGCATCCCCCGGCCTCCTCAGCAGGGCTCTGGGTTTGCTGTCCTGAGTCACCTTCTCTAAATGCTTGCTTACACTTTTTGTCCTAGCTAATCATTTTTTATTTCAGAGTCACTGAAAGATACTGTTTCTTTGAAAGAAATTATATTTCACGACATCTACGATACAATACTATTTGGCAATCATAAAGGAAAAATAGTACTGCCAATAAAACAAATGATGCCCTGGGGTTTTTTCCTTTTGTTTCATTTTGTTTTTTGCAGTAATGGGGATTGAACTCAGGGCCTTTGCACTGAGGTATATCCCCAGTTCCTTTGTAAAATTATTTTAATTATTTGGTTATTTTAAAAATGTGAGATGGGGTCTCACTAAGTTGCCCAGGCTGGACTCCAACTTTTGGCCCTCCTGCCTCAGCCTCCCAGATTGCTGGGAATAGCCCTGCACTAGCCTCTTCTCTCTGACATTTCTTTCATCCATTCCAATTCTTGCTTTGCATTTGCATCACTTGGCCTATGATATAGCGACACTGCATTCCTCTTAGTAACTACTTATAATAAACCTTCATTTACTTGTGAGTCTTTTTCTCTTCACTTGCTTCTGTAGAAGATATAAAACTGCTTTCATTTTTCTGAAATAATTGGCTTATACATCACATTTACACCCCGTTGCTCTTTCTACCTTTCTTTATATGCAGTAAGTATTCAGTCCTTTCAGAGGCATTTTATATGCCAATCAAACTCAACATCTGCAGGGACAACGATGCAAATAATTCAGCTGAGACAACGGCACAGGAACAGCTATAACCATGGGGACTGCTAGAGTCTGGATCTTGTGTCCACTGAAGGCTCACGTGTGCCTTAAAGCCTTGGTCCCTAGAGTACCTTGCAATCGAATTTATTTAGTACAGTATCTGCTTCATCCATTCTGCCCTTGTCAGTAATGTACACTGGGCCTCTGATCTCCTGAGATGCCTCTCTTCTTTGCTGTTTTATGTTTGCAGGGGTGCATCACAGACAGCTTCCAGTATGACCTCAGAGTGAAGAAAGACATGAGCTAAAAATGCATATCATGATTTACACAGCAATCGACACTAAGGCTCTGGAAAAAGGAAAACAAGACAAAAAGGGGAAAGTATTCTATTAAATAAATTTAGTAATAGAAACTTTCAGATGTGTTCTTACAATTCAAGTTGGAAAGCAAATCTTTTCCAATAATACATGATTTGATTATGTTAGCAGCTAAAGCCCATATAATCAAATAAAACAATTAGTAATTCCTGAAACTATGCTTTAATCCACGGGATTTATAGTCACTGCAAATATAAATTGAATAAAGTATTTTTCAGAGACTATAGGAAACTCGCATACATACTAACAATTATTACCCTTGTCCTGTTTCTTAAATTTAATTAGGAAAGCTCATTCACAGCTGAACACTCTGAAATCAACTCTGAGTAATGGAAGTGTGCACAGATGGACCCCAAGTGTGCTGCCCAGAGACGCTCTTGGCACGCATGGAATTTGTAAGAGAATTAGCCAGTTTCACACTGTACACTGAAGCTTTCCTCTTACAATTAAAGTTGGAGCACAAATACTTGCTTGGAGCACCACATCTTTGTGAGTCAGAGGGTGTCTCTACATTCCAAAGGGGGCAGCAGTCAGTACAAGTGTAGCAGTTCCCAAGATGTCACTTGGAAAATCCCCAGGAGGGGAACATTTTCAAGATTGTCTCTACCCTGTCAGTACCATTATCCAGAGTACAAACCACAACTGATCCCAGATGAATAAGACATAGTAGTAGTTTCTTCACCATTTACACACACACACACACACACACACTTATACACACAGAGCTGCCATGATTGACCCTAAATGAGACACAGCAATCCCTTCACCATTTACACACACACACATGCACACACACACACAAACATGAATACCATATACAAAAGTGCATGGACACATTACAAATCTGAAGAGTCAAAACAGGGACAGAGAGAATTAAAAAGAGATAATCTTAAGACACATACTTTCTAAAAAAAAAAACAACTGATTTTCAACATTTCTGTTCTTTTCTAAGCAACTTGCCTACAGTTCCCAAAGATTTCATTCCTGGTCTTTTTCCTTCTCTAGTCCCTCTCTTTTCCTTACTCCCTCTGTCGGCTCCTTCTAACAATTTCACACTTCTGCATTATTCAGATCCAACATGGGAACCAACACCAGGCCCTTGAGTCTCTCTGAAATCCCAAAATTCAGTAAGAAATAGTTCCATACGTACAAAACACACTGTGAAAATGGAATTCTGGGGCTAAATATTAAATGCTTTCCTATCATGTTACATGAAAGAGTAGCTAAGGAACTTATCTTACATCACGTAGCCAGTGCTGTCTCACTAGATTTCAGAAAGCTCTCTGCCCATTTTTTCTTCCACTGAAACTGGAACTCCTCAACATGCTACTTACTGACCAGGAAAAATACACAACTGAGGTAAACACCAAAAAGAAGTTACTGGCTCAGTGATCTCCATATATGACATGTCAATAACCTCTTTTTTTAATTCAATCTAATACGCTTGCTAAGCCATACCCTAAAGGTTTTTCAGTAGGATGCAAGCTTTCAGGGAGTCTGTATGGAAGTACCATGAGAGCTTAGGCCATTCCAATATTTATTTAATAATTACGTACTAATGATGCTTATTTTTTCAGATGAGATCTCACTAAGTAGTCACGCTGGCCTCGAACTCACAGTGATCCTCCTGACTCAGCTTCCCGGGTGCTGGGATTACAGGCGTGCAGCCCCACACCCAATGATGATGCTTTCAGAGTAACATTTGATCAGACCTATTATCCAAGGCCGATGGGTAGAGTCTCTCAGGAAGGAGATAAGTGGGTGTTCACAAAGTAACTCATGTGAGGCACTGGGTGCTGGGTGTTGTATTCACTTAGGCTGCTCTCTGGACATCTTACTGGAAAAGAACTTTCTGCCTAAATTCAGTACATAAACTTTCCAAGCTACTTTCACTTACATCTGGAGGGTCAGAGCCAGAAATTGAGTTTGGGGAAGATTTTATAATGCAACTGTTCCTGTATTCATTCATTCCCTAAGCTATGCATGTCCTGTATGCCAAGCAATGTTCCAGAGTCTAAAATCACAAGATTCTTGGCCTCTGGTTGTCCATCTCTAATCTATTTCCTCTATTATGCCTACAAGGGAACATATCTGACTCATCCTTCTTTTTAACTGGGTTCAAATAACAATCATTTCCCAAGATGGTCAGCCTTAAAATTCAAAACTGAATTCTTAACGTCATAACAGGATAATTGATTCAATTTCAGTTTTTATTTAGCAGTCTTTTGTCTAAACATATTTATCAACCCTGGGAATAAATATCATAAAGTCCTGATTTAGACAAAATGACCCATTGAATTTTCAGCTCTCTTGAAAAATAAGAGGCAAAGTTTGAGAACTGTAATTTTTTTCCTTTTCATCAAGTTACCACAGGATAACTCAGGTGGATGAAAAATGCACATATAGGGAAATTTTAAATTAATTTTAGAAGGGGTCTGTGAAATGTTTAAAGGCCCTCCCATAGATGTAAAGACCAGGGGTATGCTTGGACTCCATTTCATTCGAGTTGGTATTCCCTGCCCAGAAGAGACCTCAGAAAACGCCTGCTGAAAGCGTGAAACCTGACCTTATGTGGCTCCCTTTCTCATCTTCCCTCTTCCCATGATCTTCCACACATACACTTTTCTAAAATTCATTTCTGTGAGGTTGGCACTCTAAAACATCATTTTTCAAACTCTACTTTCACAGTTTTCTTTTTTCCACCTCACAAAAGAAAACCATTGCTCCTACTCCCCCAAACACTACAATGACGCAATCACCTGAGGATAAAAACCACCAAAGATTCATATCCCAAATGCCTCCTGAGGGAATATCTCCTGGGAAAGAAAGGTAAGGGTACCTCAAGAAGAAACCGAAAGAGGCTGTGCTATATCTTTGTTTTTTGTTTTTGTTTTGAGACAGGGTCTCACTATGTCGCTGAGAACTCACTAAGTAGTCCAGGCTGGTCTGGAACTCACAGCGATCCTCCTGCCTCAGCCTCCTGAGTGTTGGGTTTATAGGCATGCGCCACCACTCCTGGCCTTGAGACTGTGCTTTACCTTATCCCAGGGACAAACTCTCTGCAGTTCCCCGTGCCTCATTTACATGTTGAATAATTTCACATCAGAAAGTGAGATGATTATATTGGGTGAAACCGTAATACTTATTTAAATTTAAAAAGGCAGTTTTCTCTGATGAGAAGTTATCTTAATCAACTAATTTGACAAAGAGCATTGACTTTGACATGAGAACATGTAACATCAAAAGAGCTACATCCCGACTGTGAGATTTTGCTGATATGTACTTAAAGCATATGCATAATAAATAATGTGCTATAAATTTATACTTGGCAACAATTTAACCCTATGGCAAAACCTATGAGGTAATTTGAAAATAACCAAGAAAATGATGGATTGAAAATTATGTTGAAGGCTATTTGAACAAACATGTTTGAAATGCGGTGAGTTAGAGGTTATAGGCTGGATGGATCCATCCTGTTGCTTTCCCTTCACAAAACCCAGCAGAGGAAAAAGACAACAGCAATAGGTTTGGGGACCAACAGACTGACGCCCAGTAGAGCGACCTCTCTTCTCTTTGTACATAAAAACGCACATGATTCATCTCCACCTAGGAGGACCGTTGTGAGGCTAACGTGAGGCAACGTAAATAAAGGAGTCGGGACCTGGCATAAAGAAATGTTGACTATTTCCCAATGTTTCTGCTAGCAGTGTTTGCTTATTTGCCTGGGTTTTTCCCCTTCAAACTGAATCTAAATTATTACCAGGAGGTGTGCTTTCCTCTTCCACATTTCGTTTCTGCCCCTGCCCTCTTCTTTCTGTCACTCCCTCTTTCTCCTCCCTTCCCTCCCTTCTCTCCCTGTCCCTCAGTCATCTTGCGCGAATGCTCGTTTCTACTTTTCTCTTTAAATTTTACTACCAACTCCACATATTCAGGAAAAAAAATAATTAAACAGGATCTTCTGCTCTTGAATATACTATGCTGACTGTTTCATCCCATTCCACACGAATTTATACGCCTTCCTAAAAGTTATTTTATTCCCAAGTCAAAATAATAGTCAAAGTTGCCAACTATGGTTCTACAAGGTGGTAAAGTGTTCATGGAACCTTTTTTGTGCATTTTTTTGGCAAAAAAATTTCCTTTGCATCTATAAGGATTTAAACATTTTAAATTTCCAACTAATCAAAGAAAAATATTTCTGTGTTTTCTTGTCTTCTTCCTTGAACTTTTTGTTTATTTCTTATAATGAACATATATTTAGTTTTAAAACTAATATATTAAAAATGTACCAATAAAATTATTTTTTTAATTTAAGAAATAAAAATGATACATTAACACAGGTTACACTTCTTAAATGTAAAACATTAAATTGCATAGGCACTATCATATATAGGATAATATTTTAATAGGAATTTCATACAGCAAAGAAAATTGGTCCCAGAAAAATTTTTTAATTAAAAAAGTTATAAGACTAAAAATTTTTATTGAATAAAAATTTTAAACAATATAAAGTAAGTTAAAATATATATGACAGAATAGAAGCAAACATTTACTACATACAATAAACAAAGACTTAAAGTCTATAACGAATAGTACCTACATATTAATAGGAAAATAATTTTTAAAGAAGAAAACAAAAATAAAAAATACAAACAGGGAATTCAAAGAAATACTAATATCAATACCAACTCAGTCTACTTGCTATCCAGAAAAAATGCAAATTCAGTAAAAAATGTATTACTTTTCACTCAACCACACTGACAAAATTTAAAAGATTAACAATACATACATACTTTTGTTTTCAGTGCAGAAAAACAATTTTATCCATTACTGAAAGAAAATGGTACATTTGGGGAGTATTCTGCAAAATTAAAAGTTAATTGATTGCATTTTGTGAAATTTCTTTAGAGAATCTTTAGTTATGAACCAAAATAAGTATAAACACATGTGCTGTCCACTTGATAGGACTTCCTCAGATAGTAAGCAACTGGGCCCAGAATATGTGGATATCTCACTCCTCAGCACTAGGTACACAGGGAGCTCTAGAAGACAATGTCTGACTCTTCCTTCCTCAGAAATGGGCCCATTCTCTACAAGAGTCCTTAGGAACAGCTGAGAGCTCCGAGATGGGTTTGCTCAATGGGACTGACTCTTAGAAACTCCCCTAGCACTGCAATAATTTATAACATTGATGCTCAATAAGAATTCCCATCAGCTTTCCAAAAGTTGATGTATGTGGTTAATATGAGTATTATTATATAATAGAATAGCATTATATTATATATATAATTTTGTTATATATTATAATATACTATTATAACAATTACACGTTCTTGTATATTCTGACAATATTGTTATTTCAAAGCACACAAATGTGGTAGATTGGTCCTTTATTTTGTTTCATTAATTCAGTTCACCGTTGATAATCAACAAATTGGACTGAAATCAACAAATTGAAAGTAGTAGTGATAAGCAGGATATTGTGCTGCTTCTTCAAGCTAAACCACTGATCCTCATGTTAGGCTTCCTATCTCCAACAGCAAGAAACAGAATACCAGAGGGAGCAGGAAGCACTGTTTGGATTCCCATAATCCTACCTCGTTTATTTACGGTTCCCTCTTTCCTCCTTCCTGCCTGTACAGATGGGTTTTCCTCTCTGTTCCCAAACTGAATCACACTCACCGCTTTTAAGATGCTCAACATTTCAAAAGCCTTCCTCTTTAGTTCCCCACAAACAGAGGTCAAAAGCTCTTACCTCTGCCGAATTATACTGGGATTGGCTGTCACCAAATGACTTTTGGATCCAACATCTTTAGTGTATTCACTTGACAAGGGAGGAAGGTTGCATCTAGAGACACAAGAGCAAGCATTTCAGGATAACGTAATGCTTTTTCAAGTCAGCTATAATGGCACAGATAGGAACTTTAATTCCAGCTCAATTCACAAATAATATTTTACCACCTTTCCCTTTCAATAGACATTAGATGACTAATTAACCATTGGCATTTTTAAAATGCTGTCAAAAACGAGTCCTGTTTTAGAAGAAAGAAAATGTCAGCTACAGAGGTAAATGATCTACCAAATAAAAGAGATAGCAACTAGAATGTATTTATTCCATGTAAAATGTGTGAGGTGGTAGGACAAGAAGTATTAGGCTTGAAATTAGGGCTCAGGAGGTAGGGGACACAGAACTGACAGCATAACCAGGAACCTCAAGAGGCATAGGAATTATACTTGCCTATGTTTTCTTTACTTTTGCCAAAATATGAATTATAATAGTATATTAAGGGCAATGTAATGTTCACTCAAATCAATGTACGCCTGACTTTTCTGACCAGTGCACAGTTTGATTAGTGATGGAGTCAAAATGACATCGCACCCAAAGAAATGCAATGATCCCAGTTCCTCTGAGGAAAAGCGGACTGGCATTGTTTCCTAATGAAGCAAACAGTCCTACTACCACCACCAGCAAAGCTCCACCCCTGCACCCTAATGATTTTCTTTGGTCACAACTTCTTACGAACATGTACGGTGAAAAATTATGGCGAATTTTTCAAGTTTTTAATTACAGTAAAAGCATATTGCCATTAATGACCCCTCTCCCTCTCTTGCCTTCTTTGAACACACTTGTCCCATCATTCTTGCTACTTTCTGAAGCAGTTCTGGAAGTCCTCTTTCATGAGTGTCTTCACTTGCCCTGCTGTTGCAGCCTCAATGTCCCGAATTAACTTAAAACATTTACCATTCATGGTCAATTTTACTTTGGGGAAGAACCTGAAGTCACAGGGTGCTTGCTCCAGTGAATAAAGTGGGTGAAGATACAATGTAGTCTTTTTATGAAAGACACTCACTAAAGAGAAATTTCAGAACTTCTTCAGAAACTCACAAGAATAATATTTCGAAATAATTTTTCCAAGCAAAGGGAAATATTTTGAAGGGAGTTAATGGTAGTATATCTTTTACAGTCACATTTTAAAAATTTAAATATTCACCATATATTTTATTATAATCACATTAGTTTTCCCCACAAATGTGTCCCCAGGAGATGGAATTGGCCATGTGCTCACTCAGCTGATCAGCTTGAATTCCCTGATTACCCTGATTACCCTGGGACTCCTAAAACATCATGGAATCCCTGGGAGAAATTCATCTCTGTGGATTTAAGAGTCTTCCTTTTGTCTCCTGGTGAGTAATGAGAGGCTCGTTCTTCCACCAACTACCCACAGGTCAGCATGTCAGTCAGCTGATGACCTCACTGAGAGCAAACAGGGGGGCTTTGTGGGGACCTGGGACCTGGGGACCAATCACAGAGATCCTGCAGGCCAGTGGCAGCATCACATCCTGCGCGCATGCCTGAGGATTCTCAGGCGAAAGGGAACTCATGACTGGCTTGCCAGGCTGTGTGGTATGGATGGCAGTCTTGTGATTTCATAGGTCTTTACGAAGACAAAGATAAAACAGATTAAAAGTCACATACACACACATCTCTTAAAGAAGCTTTGTTGTTGACTGCCTTTAGTAACATTCGAGAAGCAACCACATTATACTACAACTGTGAGCTCTAAACATTGTCAGAAAGTGCCATTAACCTGCTTTGTCTCTATAAAATGAAACAAGATAGTTTCCATAAGTGAACACTGGGATTTTCTTTGTGTTCTGTGATTCATACATCTGGATCCCTTCATTCTTCCTACCACAGAGTACAAGCTCAAGAAAAACTTGCAGATACTGGTTCTACCTGCTCATAAAAGAAAGAATATAAATGCATTTCTAGAAAATAATAGCAATACATTTTGGTGTAAATATCTACCTTAACTTCTTCTAGGTGAACTTTCTTTTCCAAATGCAAACATCTAAGACAATTTCCTCTATCTCTTAGGAAAAGCACACTATAATTTTAGCTCCTCAGTCCCTAAATTGATAATTACATAGATTTACATAAAAGGCACATTTAATACAGTCAAATTGTTTCTAATGAGGCATAATTGTGTAAAAGTGTTTCAAATTTTACATTAGTGCTTGTTGGCACAATTAACAGATATTAATGGCTAAAGTGTCCTAGTAACAGTGCTCGTGATCCTAAAAGAGATCTGATCCCAGAGCTGGCAAGAAATAAATATCCTCTGAATTGGGATAGAATGGGTGAAAAATGGGCTTACTGGAGAGAAATGTAAAATAGAAAAATCACAAAATTATTTTTAAAATTTTACATACATAGATTTAAGTATGCAAAGCACACATTGAGCATAAATCAAATGGCACCAAAATTGCGTAGTCTTCACTATAACCCCAAGCCCATCCAGTCTCTCTCCAGAATACACTGTTATTTCTGTGTCACAGGCCTTCCAGCTATATTGAACTCAACGGTATCATTTTTTAATGTGCTGCTTTTGATTATACAGAAAATGTACACTTCAAAAAAATGGGAAATTGACTTTTAGCACTTTAGAAAATGGGTGTGAAAATATCTAAGCAAAGAAAATTATGGAATCATTCCATTTTAGTCTTAAAAGTTTGACCTGTAATCTGGTATGTCACTATGTAAGGACAGTGCTATTTTGGGGTCTCCTTTCCTCCTTTATCAGTCCATGTATCCTATAGTGTAGGATCCCATTGGCAGCATGCTTCCTAATTAAACTCTAAGTGTATAATTTTGAAAATAAGGTATTTTCTCAATTTTCTAAATGTGTCCTCTGAAATGTGTATTAACCACTTATAAGTTGATCTGTAAATGTGTATTAACCACTTACAAGTAGATCTGTAAATCGTCAAATAATAATTTTTTAGATAATTTATCAACATTTATTACTCCCATATTGGGAACCCTACATATAAGCCTTTGTGATACAGAAACAGTCCACTTTGTGATGTTATTCAGAAGCGTATATACACACACACAGCTTTACTTACAATGCTACCTTCCCTGGGTCCTTTTCAATCCTCACTTTTCTTGTCATCCTATGAACACTGTGCTTCCATACTGTGTTGGGAACTCTAATCACAGCTGCTCATTAATTCTGATCTTGGATACATCAATGAAAGGCTGTACAAGGCCAACAGTCTCATTTATTTGAGATAAATATTGTCCTGCTAGATAATCCCCTATGGTGCTTAGGTATTGTTCATGTTAAATTTCAAATACTCATCTTTCTAAGGGAAGATAAACACACACACACACACACACACACACACACATCGAAAATAACAGAAAAATATTTATTGCATTGTTTCCTTCTACACTGTATCAAGGTCACTTGAAATCACTTAACTCCTCTGAACCCCTGAACTTAATATTATCTCTTCCTTCTTCCTTATGTTATGTGTGGAAAGAGCAAATAAATTTATACAAAAGAAATTTGAAAATTTAAAGCAAGCCTCATAACCTCTGCTACATTAGTGACACCTCCATAGAAACACAGGGCAAAGCAGAGTTGCCACGACAGTAAGCCCCGCTTCCCCGACACAGCCAAAGGCTGAGCTCCGGCAAAGGTCACATAGCACACTGTAGCTCACAGGCACGGTCAAGGGCAAGGACCTGTCCTCCTAACCCTCAGTGCTCCCTGCTGGCTCCTCAGCCTCACCTACAGCCACAGTGCTGGAGTGGGGTCCTGGCGGGCCCAAGGCCTCTGCCTATCTCATCCAACCCTGCTCTCCAGGTATTTCTTTCATCCACTCCTGTGGCTTCACTCTCTCTCCAGCCCCCCAACACACTGTCACCCTTATTTTTATGACACTGCAACAGGACCCAAGGTCTTCCCCGCAGTATGGCTATGGAGAAGACCTCCTCCCTACCGAAAGTGGAACAAAGAGAGGACTCAGCCCAGACAAGCTTTTCCTCAGAAGCTCCTACTGCCTCTGCCACCTGTGTCTACACTCTCCAGAATGCACATCTCTAGGATACCAGCCCGTCTCAGAATTGTCCAATGTACCATCCTCCCCAGAACCCGCCTAAGGCCCAACACACAGAAGTGCACGGTAAACAGAGAGTGCACTGATTTGAATTAAGGAAACTACTTTTTTCCCATTTTTCCAATTGCTTGTATATATTGCAAAAAAAAAAAAATTGTAAAAGATGTGAAAAGACAATCCTACACTGGAAAAACAATATGTGAGGGCACCCCATAAAGAAAAAGGTAGGTAAAGACAAGAATGTACCTACTCTGCCACAGGCTTCACCGAGTGAGGCTGTCTTTCCGGCAGCCCCCTCTCCTCCTCTAAGAGGGAACTTGGCCTTCCCCTAAGACAAGGGTTTCCCCTGAAGCCCCTAAAACAGTCCTCTCTATCCCATTTAGCTCAACTCAGGGGTGGTTCAGCTTTCATTCAGCTCTCTTCTGCCACTTCAGTATTTATTCACCCTTTAGAAAACACAAATTCTCCCTCCTCCTTTGCTCAGCTTCCTGCCCTCCATTTACTGGGATCCTCAGCCTTCCTGGTCATGGAGCCCTTTGGCCCCTGGCTGATGGTCCTTTTGAATTCACTGGGATTCCAGGGTCCGACCTGGAAGACCCTCAGAGTCTAACCTCAAATTTTTCTTCGCATCCTCAGTAACAAATGTCCTGCTTTTCTACAACTCATCTAATCATCCCCTGGATAAGCCACGCTCTGAAATCTTACTCTCCAGTGAGCCATTCTTGCACTGTCTTCCCCCGTTTCTCCCTCCTCTTCAGCACCAGTCCCCTCCTGGCCCTGAATGCCCCGCCATTTCGCCCCCTCCCTTCTTCTTCACACAAGGAAGGCAGAGACCACTCCCTTTCCTGCCAGGCTGAAGGCCCTGCTGCTTACTCCCCTCGCTCACTAGCACAATCCTCTGCACTGTCACTCCTGTCCTTCCCTCTCACCTGATCTCAAACCTGCACTAAGGCAATCACTCTCTCTCCGCCTCCGCAATGGGCTGCTGTGCACCAGGGCTCAAAATCAGCAACAGTGCCCTCCGGTGACCTCCTCCACCCAAGGGCCGGACACCGGGCATTTCCTCATCTGTCCCCTGCAGGGGCCTCCTCTCCTTGGATCTGATGTCAGCAGCTCAGGCCCTCGAACAAGCTCCTGCCTTGTTTGAAGATGACTCCCCCACTCCTTCTTTCTCATTTTCCTAGGACTGCACACATGGAATCCCTCTTTAAATCCCACTTGCTAGTTTCAAAGGCATTTGTGAAAAACTAGGAAGACAAGGGTGCAGAATAAAATGGATACATCAAAATGCTTATTCACGTGGAACTAGCTTTAATGAAAGAGCAATTTAGAAAGTTTTCAGCATCAGACTCTACCACCTAAGAGGAGGTCGGAGGAACGCTTCCGCTTTTACCACCCCCCAACCCCCACCCCATCCCCTCCCCGCTGCCCTTATGAAGGGGCAGAGCGGTACCTCTAATCCCTGGGCGCTGGTGCCTGTGTACCTCATCCGGGCACTTTCCCTCGCTCCCCGTAGCACTCTCATGAACTCCTTAGTGTGTGTGCTTGAGGGAATCTGGTTAATGCCAAGTGACTAGTTCTGAAAAGGCCCAGGGCTCACAGAAGGGGCGGGGACGAGGAGAGAAGGCGGAGGCCGCGCTGTGGTGCTCTCTCTTACCGCATGACAAAATTTGCTGCATCTATTTGCCGGCCACAGCTACTCTTCTTCAGAATCCCACCATTTCCCACCACCGCACATTTCTTCAATGGCAGCTGGAAGGGGGTTGCCTAGCAACAGAAAACAAGGCGGGTTTTCACTGCAAAGAACACACAACCTCACAAAAATCATTGTTTACAGCAGACCCTTTGGAGGAAGTTGAATGAAGGCTGGGCCAGGCAAAAAGACCATGTGGAAAGAAAGATGCCAAGAAATCTGTCAAGGAGCAAACTAGCCTGTTCCTTTGAAATTACAATGACAAAACAAAACAAAACAAAAACTCCCCGAAGTGTATTTAAATGCAATCTTTTTTCCTCTTTGTCGAATTGGCCACGCCCATAGGAGAAGGTGTTTGCTGGGGGAAAACAAAATTTAAAAAAAAAAATCTAAGTGCAAGATTATTTTTAAAGGCATTGAACTGGGACCAAACTCCAATGAATTCCAGTCTCCTATCGAATTGCAATTTCGCCCATTCACCCTGTCAGTCACTCGCTCCACATAGGTCTCTGGGCATTTTCTATGTTGTTGGGCACACAAGTTGCAGCCTCAGGACTCACAACTTAAGATGTGAAGAGAGGAGGGGCAACAGCCTCGCAGAGATGCCGAAGCTCTGCAGGAGAAATGAGTGCCACTTGTAAGAGAGGCACCTGAATAGAGAAAGCTCTCACTTGAGATGAACCTCACAGAAGAAGTAGGATTTTGCCAGGCAGAGAAAGCAACATAAACAAAGGCACAAAAGGATTTGCTGAGGGCAAACGCCATGTTGATGAGCACAGGAGCACTGTGCCCATGGTTCTGAGCAGAAGTCGGGAGGCTCTCCCAACTCCAGCAAGTGGCTGGAGGTAAAGCAGACAGCCTGTGACTCTCCCCCTGCAAACATTAAACTGGACTGTGAAGGAAATGTTCAGTGTACATTTCTGAATGTGTCTGGAGTGCTATTTTTAGCACCAGGGAATATGGAAATCCAGCACTAGCACCTGAAAGTAAAACACATCATTTGGGCTCTTCCAGCTGGATCAGCAAGAATTGCTGCTTGCTGAAGTGACGCCCAGCCACTGGGGTTCTTGGAAGAAGACCCTACGTAGATACCAATGGTTCAGAAAGTAACAGTACTGATTGTACATAGGCTACCTGGGTGAATGTCAACCAAATAACATGGACCATACAAAAGAATACATGAACTGATACACGAAGATACATGAGAAGGCCTTCATGAGAAGGACTTTAAGGAATGAAGTCATTTAATGAGTAAAAAAAATTCAGAAGGCTCTGCATTCACGGGCAGTGGAGGTAGACACGTAACACAGCCAAGAAGATTTTATTCCCTAGTATGTAAGATGAATAGCCAGGGCTATGGAAATATTGTTGATGAATATGCAATACCTAAAGCATAAAGCTTGAGCAACTGAAAGCAGAGCATCAGGAATCCCCTGTATCAGTAGGGCAGGGATAGTCCAATACCCTGCAGGGCAGAATACTCAGAGGAGGGAGAAGCAAAGAACCAGCACTCTTAACAGATTCAGAATATGCATACGCAACATTTTTCTCAGTCACCTGAGAGAATGGTTTGGGATCAATGCTAGAAGAACATCAGTTAGATCTATAATTTGTTGGAAAATACTTAAGTATTTATTTTTACATAGTTGTCTGTTTATCCCACAAGTATTTAGTGTCTGTTAAGAGTCAGGCATGGTCTTGGGTAAAAGGAACACAAGTGAAAAATCACTATTCCCCTGGAAGTTATATTTGATGGGAGAGACAGGTAAGAAACAAAGATACATGAGTGTAGTGGTTAGCTTTCCTTCACTGAGACCAAACACCTGATAGCCACAGCATACAGGAAAGGACATTTATTGTAGCTCACAGTTTCGGAGGTTTCAGTCAAGGCAGAAACATCATGGCGGAAGGACATGGAAGAGCAAAGCTGCTCAACTCGTGGCGTCCGGAAAGCAAAGAGCAGAGACAGAGCCAGAGAAGAAGGGACCAGGGAACAGATGTAGAACCCAAGGTCATAGGGCCTACCCAGGCATACTCAGAAATGTGCTTTACCAATGCCCTAGTGGCTCCCACATCAGTCACACTGACAGTCAAGGTGCGTCATCACAATATGGGCCATGGACAGGGTCAAGAAACCGCCTCCCAGAGAGGAACTGCAATTTGATCAGGTGATAGGGGAAGAGTTCATAGGCTGCATGTGAACTTATCCCAGCAGGAGATAAGGAAGTGACCCAATCAGATACCATGGAAACAACTGACACACAGACCCTGAGATGGGAACATTTCTGGAATGGGGAAGGGAGTGCACACAGCCCACAGCATTTGAAAATCAATCAGCAAGGGAGAGAGAAGTAGAAGTAGGTAGACTGGCAAGAAACTCTGTAGGGCTTTGTAAGGTATTAGAAAAACTTCAGTTTTTATTGTAAGGTGAGAATCAAGACAGGCTGGCAGGGAGGGAGGTTGAAAAGCAGTGACATTGAAAAATGTTGAAGCAATCACTACTACTGCGTGAAGAGGCTTCAGGATATGAGCAACAAAAGAAACCAGTGAGGAGCCCCTTGCAATAATCCAGGCTGGGGATTTCTGTGACTTGGACTAGGCCTGGAGTGGGAGTATGAATAGTAGCCAGATTCTGATGATATCCCGGAGGAAGATCTGACCGAAGGAAAGGAAGCAAGGTCAATACCAGAGTTTTGGTTTGAACAGCTGCAAAGACAGATCTGTCATTTACTGAGATAGGAAGATCACAGGAGGAGCATGTTTAGGAAAAGACCTGAGACTGGGCCTTCTAAGGCACCAAGTGTCTGAGGGCCATTTAGATACTCAAGTAGAACCCAAGGGCCGGAGTTCGATCCCCAGTACCAAAAAAAAAAAAAAGGACCAGAACAGATACTCAAGTGGCAATGGGCAACGTCAAGGAGGCAACTGAGTGAGCAATCAGGGAATTGGTCTTTCCTGGAGAGAGTTGAGCGTGATCAGCTATTTAAAGTCAGAAGACTAGCTGGAGAGTGAGTGTAGACAGAAAAGAGACTTAGAACAAAAGTAAAGAAGGAAGGAAAATTAGCATCAAAAAACTTGCTGTTGATAGATTGAATGCAATAAAAGCTTAGAATTGTCACTGGACTTATCAACTGCTAACCGAGACAAGGACTTGGCTCAACAGTAAGGACAAACGCCTGATCTGAGTTCACTGAGTTAAATATAGAGATTTGGACACAGTTTATTTGAAAAAGTGGATTCACGTGTCCTCAGCTAATATTTAGCTTGATTTATAAATACCAATTTAAAACTCCTTAAATTGTTAAAGAGAGATCCCTGAACCTCACGGGGTGGCGATTCCAGGTTTTTAGGCGGGAGAACAGGCAGACCTAGGCAACAGCGACACAGACTGGGATAAACACTACCCTCTAACTGCACAGGGTTACCCAGATTTAGGGGCGGCTGTAACGCTCCTCTGTGTTTGGCTTCCTATCTCTGAAGGGGGTAACATTACCAGGAGTATGGGGGACAATAAAGGGAAAACCACGGACACTGTGGGCTGCTCAGTTTCCTGTCTCTTTTCACTCCTTCCCTTCTCGCAGTGGAGCTCATGGACGTGGTCCATGCCTACATCTCACGGGCTTTTGTGGAAGAAGGTAAAACAGTGATTTATCCAACTGTATCTTAATCATCGGGAATAATGTTGTCAGCAGAAAATTTAACTATTATATACACGCACTATTATCATAGTCCCAAAAGTCTTCAAACAAAAGTCTGGGGATTCAAAAAATAAAAAAAGGCCACTTCTAACTTTTTTCTGATAACGCTCGATTGCTCCTTCTTCACTGTGTCAACTGCTAGCCCTGGTAGAAGCAATTTTATTTCAATATATATTCTCGAGCTCCTGGGTACACTCTTCTAAGTGATTGATCATACATCAGTGAACAATAATAGCACACTGAAGCTTTTCAGAAAGGGAAAAATATAATTGAGGAAATACTATGGGTTGTTATTTTAGATGAACACTAGTAACTGAGATAAATACTCTCATTATTCTCTTTTAGACACCAAATGCACGACTCGGCAATGGTCAATGCTTTCCATAATGCTATACAGCAAGGTGTTGTTCTTTATGGATATACTACGTAAAGGAAATTTTGGTCATCCATTATCACATAAATATTGTGATTTTGATGGTGTTTTCATTAAGACACTGCATGCTGTCTTCTGAAATATTATCTCCTTGTACCTACACAAGAAAGTATCTCCTAGACCTGAGAATGTAGTATTATAATACTCCTGACAAACTTTTAAAAGTCTCCCTCTAAATGAAAGGACAGATTATGATAGATGGGAAAGATTGTAATGATGAGCTCAAAATTTTTCAACACTTGCTCAGCTATTAATTCAACTTATGGATTTTTTTTGTCCAAATATTTTCACCCATAACTTTCTCCTGTTAATGGCCAATTCTGCAATAGTCCTATTATATTACCCATCAAGATTCTAATTTGCCAGGCCCCTGGACTGCTCAGTAACTCTCTGAAAATTAGACTTAGAAAACGTAATGTTAGGAAGGTTAAAAAAAAAGCAAACAAAACTTTCATGTTTCATGGCATGAACAAGGGTGAAAAGAATTACTAGAGGCTAGAAGACTTTTTCAGAAACAAACCGCAAATGCAAGCTGTGAAAATATTCCTGGCTGGCAATATGACTTCTGAAAGAATGCTATTAAAATCTGAAGAATGTAAGCTGTTTTGTTTTATGCCTTGGGTGACTAGTACCAGAGGAAGGTTTACAATTAGGTGAATGAAATTTGATTATCAGTCATATGTAAAGCCTCCCGTCTGCCTCCCTTCCACATGTAATCCACACAGGGTAGCCACAAGCCAAAGAGCTGATCTCCACTCTCATCCCCCACAGCAGGGTCAGGTGAGCCACTCATCTCTCCAAACATAACAGGAAGTCTTGACCCACAACTACACTGCCTCTGTAAGCAACTGAGGTAACCTCCAGAATCCCCAACTGCTTTGGAGCTTCAGCTGGTCTTGAAGGGAGGGTGGAATCAGGAAACCGATGCAGGAGAAGAGATATC